TAGGAAAGGATATTTCTCTGTGGTGGTCAGTGTTTTCTTTTAATAGTTTAGAGTATTCACTCCAGTGTCTTCTTGCTTGCTTGCTTCTGACGGGAATCTGCTATTATTTTCCTCCTCTGGCTGCCTTCCAGGGTTGTCTCTGTCTTTGTCTTGGGTCTCTATCACTAATTCTGGAAGGTTTCCCCCCATTATTTCTTCAAATATTTCTTTTTCTTCATTTCCTCTTTCTTCAACTTCTGGGATTCTAGTTACAAATGTGTTTGACTTCCCCAATAAATTCAGATGGCTCTCCATATCTGTGGGTTTTAAATCTATAGAGTTAACCAATGGCTGGTCAAAACACCATATTTCAACCCGCAGTTGGAAGTTCATGGATGCAGAGGGCCGACTACCTGCATGCACTGTTCCTTTAAATAAGAAACTTGAGTTACGCAGATTTTGGTATTTGCAGTGGGTCTTGGAACCAGTACTGCATGGATACTGAGGACTCACTGTAGTTTAATTTATGGAGAGAAAAAAGTTATTCACAGATTTTTGATTGTGTAGGGGGTCAATGCCCCTAATTCCCATGTTGTTCAAGGGTTAACTTACATACAATTACAATTAATTTGCATCTTTCATTCTATTTTACAGCTGGATATACTCCATTATGCATGTGCCATCAATTTTTTTCAGCCAATCTCCTATGTTTGTATATTTATGTAATTTCTAATATTTTGCAGTTACACAATGACTAACTTTATACACCTGTATTTTAATTTTGTTGAAAGTTGTATCTTCAGGGTAAATTTCGAAAGACTTTTTTTGCTAGGTGAAATGGTAAATGTATGACAATTTTTTAAAGATATTTCCAAATTCCCCTACAAAACGCTTATATTTTTCATTTTTACCAGCAATGTAGTGGCTATTCTCCCCCATTGCTGAACCAACAGAGTATATTGACAAACTTTTAAATTCTTGCCCATCCTATGGGTGAGCTATTGTATTTCTATGCAGTATTCATTTGCATTTATCTTATTAGAAGTAAAGTTAGGTATCTTTTTATATGCTTAAGAAAACTTTTTATATTGCTCTTAATGAATTGGCTTTTTATATCTTTTGCCGTTTTCCTATAAGATATTCTTAATGTTTTTTTTTCTTTATCTTTATATCAGGCATAGTAGGCCTTTATCTGCTAAAGAGATCGCAAATATTCTCTATAGTTTGTGATTTGTCCTTTGGTTTAACTTCTGTTGCTTTCTACCATGCAAAATTTGCGTTCATTTTCCTGTAGTAAAAGTTATCAATAGTTTCTCTTGTGGCAACT